TGACTCGCTTCCCAACTCTCTCTCTCTCTAGTACAGAAGGAAAATCAATTTAGTGGGATTAGACTAAGTGTCGTTTTTAGAAAACTGAAGTTGAAGGCAATGACTAGTTAGGCGTACTACATGTCTGTCTAGCGCGGTCTTAACTGTATTAAAATATATAACCCAACAAATCAACATTTCTTAAGAACAAAGTACTAAAAGCAAATGAAATAGTTATCTGCATAAACAGAAGAGTAACTTTTTCATTCATGAAATACAAGCTCCCTCTGATGGTCAGATCATAACGTGCATCATTCATCCATAAAACCAAAATCTGCAAGTCCTGTGAGTAAAAGACAGGATTCACTTAATCGCTTTTATCAGCTTCAAATACCATTTACTATATAATTACCAAAATGAAAATCGAAGACAAACAATTCATTACCTCTTCCAAATTCACTTAGTACTTCAAATATTCTGTAGTGGAGCAAAGCACATGAAATGAAGAGGGTTTTTTTAAATCACTAAGTTTATACGTTGCTTTTAGCTCAGGATTTCTAAAAAGACTTGGACAAAAAGCGATTAAAATACTCCTAAAATTTCTGTCACAATAGTTTGGCACTATTCCTGGTAGATAACTATATGAAGCTAATGTCTTTTAATGGCTTGTTGGGAAAGAACTAGCAAATCACAACAAACAGGATTTTATCTCTGCTTTTCCTGAGCCTTCGTCTCTGGCAAACTTACACTTACACTGGCGTTAGCAAACAAGCTCTTACCATTACAATGCTGTACCTCGTTCAGACGTTATTGGTATCAAACAAATTTCCATATAATGTATGGAACTAAATGGGCTTTTACAAGGAGCTAATTTAACTTCCTATGTTTTCTATTGCTTGTGTTATCAATATTCCTCCTTCAACATCCACGTAGAACACAAAATAACATGTGAAGTCAAATTCACCTTAGAGCACAGCAGAAACCAAACATAATCTTGAAATAGCAAAACAGTAATTCTGTAATAAACTAAACTTAGGTCTTGCCAAAAATCAAATGAGCTAGAGAAGTAATCTCTCTTTACTGTTCCATGAACAACAACAGAATGATTAACATCCTGCAGGCGATACTGAATATTTTTTTTCTTTCTGACAGCTTCAGTTTTAAAATTTCAGTTTTCTAGAGACACAAGTTATACCACAGGCAAGCTGTAGTAGAAGCCAGAATAAACTTGTGACTATTAATTTCTGTCAAACTTATATAACCTCACAGAACTATATATGAAGAGCTGATAGCAATCTTCACACAGATCCTGACAATTTCAGGCCAGCAGAAAAAAGTTTCCAATATTTTCTCTTGCAGCTGTCTCTCTAAAATTGTGTATTCAGGACACTACCTGCAGAGCAGGAATATAGGCATAATTTTGACATACAGCCTGTTTTGAATTAATATATGAAATGTATTACAGAAAATAAACTCAACTGCACATTTCTGCTAATATAATTATTTACATTAGAAGGTATATTTACTGTGTAAAGTACAGCCCAGAAAGCACTACATGGTCTTTTCCCCAAAATGCAACACCTTCAGTAGGAGGTTTTGCCCTTAGAGGACTGTCTGCTAATGCTTTGTAAAAACTGCATGCAAACTAAATTGCGTTACAACTAACTCTGTAAGTTTACTTTTACGTTAAAGGAATTATACATGTGATACGCTTGGAGGGGGGGAGAATCCTAACAACTCTCTTGTTTACCTCATCCGTTCTGAACAGTTTGCATGGATTCTTTTGTTTCATATAATTTCATATTCCAAATTGCACTGCCCTGAAGGAGATCTGCGTAATAAGAAATTATCCATTTTTATCGGGTTACTTATATTAAATTCTTTGCAATTTAATCCAATGAAGACATACATAGAAACTAGTATATTTGTTTTCTTCCTACTCATACCTGGGCTTTCCACTTATTTAATATGTAACTAAACTAGCATTTGAAACACACTTGTATAATCTTCAATGTTACAGACCTAAAACCTTTTTTAAGCACAAGTATCAATAAAAAACTTGAATTTTCTTTCATTAATTAGATGTTAACCATTATGAAATAATATTAGCACTTCCAAGAAGGCACAAAAAGATAGATTGCAGAATTGGCAGCCCACCAAGCTGCTCTATCACCGCTCTCCTCTGGCTCAAGACAGGACAAGGAGATCACTTACCAAATACCATCACGGGCAAAACAGACTCGACTTGGGGAAATTACCTTAATTTATTACCAATCAAATCAAAGTAGGGTAATGAGAAATAAACCCAAATCTTAAAACACCTTCCCCCCACCCCTCCCTTCTTCCCGGACTCAGCTTCACTCCCGATTTCTCTACCTCCTCCCCCCAGCGGCGCAGGGGGATGGGGAATGGGGGCTGGGGTCAGTCCATCACACACTGTCTCTGCCGCTCCTTCTTCCTCAGGGACTCCTCACATTCTGACCCTGCTCCAGCCTGGGGTCAATCCCCCCGGCCG